TGCGTTAAATAGCATTGAAAATGTAATTAAATATATTCAACAAAAAGATTTAGAAATTGGTAATTTAGAAATGAAAAATTTAATTAAATTGAAAAAAAGGATCTTTTTTGATAATATAAATGAAAAAAGGCAAAGTAAACTAAATGAATATTTTGATTTTAATGTATGACAGATAGTTCTTTTATAATAATAAAATTATATTTATTTTTGAATAAAATTTTGAAAATTTTGAACGAAAAATCACGTGATTTCTTGGTATTTCGGATTTTTCATATATTTTTATATAAATCCGGTTTGGCGAGATTTTTTCGATATATCGGATGTCTTGATATATCGGATATTTTTACTGGAACCAACTGATCCGATTTATCGAGATTGCCTGTGTAATATTTCGAAATTTTACACCACCTTCGAAATATTACACTAAATTACGCCTAAACAAATTTCCTGATGTAGAAGATCAGATAGTTAGTGTAATCATCAATACAGGGGCAGCGATAAGTGTAATAACAGATAAATTACGAAAGAAATTGGGAATTTCCATATTTGGGAAGAGCAAATTTAGATGTACTATAGCAAATGGAGAAAAGATAGAAGCTTTGGGAAAAGCAGGAATAACTATAAGATATAAGGATGAATTGGAGATCGAAAAAGAAGTAGAAGTAATTGATTCTAGTGAAGAAGATTTGATATTAGGAAATGATATTTGGAAAAAATTAAATGTAAGTATAGACTTTGAAAACAAAGAGATGAGAATCGAAAGACAAGAAGAAACAGTAATTATTCCAATAAGTTACGAGAGAGGTTTAGAGGAATTGGAAGAGTTTGAAGAATCTGAATTATCAAATGATGAGAGAGAGTATGAAAGTAATGACGAGAATGTGAAATATGAAGTATACCAAACTTTTAAATAGGGAGTCTTGGCTCTGAAAAGAGAGAGACAGTAAAGATGCAAACGAGAGAAGGTAAATTCTTGGAAAAACTAAATATAGGAGAAGTAGATAATAATGAAAAGGATGATATGATAAAAATGTTATTAAAATACCAAGATATTTTAGAATATGATGAAGAGAAAGAAGGTAGGATGAAAATAGTGAAACATAGGATAGAAATCGAAAAAGGAGTAAAACCGATTAAACAGAAGAGATATAAAGAAACTGAGGAGAAATCAAAAGTCATAAGAGAAGAGGTAGATAAGTTATTGAAACAAGGAAAAATAAGAAAATCAAATAGCCCATGGAGTTCACCTGTAACATTAGCAAAAAAGAAAACAGGGAAGTATAGGTTTTGCATTGATTATAGACAACTGAATAAGGTAACTATACCAGATAGTTATCCTTTGCCGAGAATAGACGAGTTATTGGAAAAATATAGGAGAGCAAAATGGTTTTCAAGTATTGATCTAGCAGCAGGATTTCATCAGATAGAAATGGATGAAAAAGATAGATCCAAAACAGCATTCGTATGTGCAAAGGGATTATATGAGTATAATGTAATGCCATTTGGATTGACGAATGCACCAGCAACCTTCCAAAGGTAATGGATGAAATATTAGAAGAATTTATAGATGACTTCATAGTGGTATACATAGATGATATTATGATATTTTCTGAAAATTTGGAAGACCACATGGAACATTTAGATAAAGTATTGAGAAGATTATAAGAGCACAATTTGATCATAAAACTGAAGAAATGTAAGTTCTTAGAAAGGGATATTGAATTCTTAGGACACATAGTAGGAAATGGTGGACTAAGACCGGATGAAAAGAAAATTGAAAAAGTACAAGGGATTAAAGAACTAACAACGGTGAAAGAAGTGAGATCATTTTTAGGACTATGTTCCTATTATAGGAAATTTGTGGAAAATTTCTCAAAGATAGCTAAACCAGGACCCCGGATATCTCCAAAACAGGTCATAAGTCACACTTTCGGCAGATTGGCCCATTTTTCAGGGCTCAAAAAATCGTTTTTTGTAAATATCTCGGCATCCAGTAGTCCAATTTTGATGAACATTTTTTTAAATTGTAGAGCTAAATGAGGGCTACAAAATAAAAAAAAGTTCATTAAAATTGAATTACTGGATGCTGAGATATTTACAAAAAACGATTTTTTGAGTTTCAGCAAAAAGGGGTGTTTTTGGCCAAAAGTCCATTATGACCTTTATATTAGATATCCGGGGTCCTGCTAAACCTTTAACAAGTTTAGTGAAGAAAGAAACAGAGTTCGTATAGGGTGAGGAACAACAGAGAGCATTCGATACATTAAAGAAAAAATTGATAAAATACCCGATATTGCAATACCCAAATTTTGAAAAAGAATTTATATTGATAACTGACACCTCAGGAGATGGTATTGGAGCAATATTAAGTCAGAAAGATGAGAAAGGTCGAGAAATAGTAATAGCTTATGCAAGCAGAAGTTTACAAGGAGCTGAGAAGAGATATCCAATAACTGAATTGGAATGTTTAGCAGTAATATGGGGAGTAAAACATTTCCATAAATATCTAGTTAATTGAAAATTTAAGGTAATAACAGATCATGCAGCTTTAAAAGGACTGATGAGTGCAAAAGTACCAGTAGGAAGAAGAGCTAGATGGGTAATGGAGTTACAGCAATACAACTTTGAAATCATACATAGTCCTGGAAAAGAGAATAAAAATGCAGATGCATTATCAAGGTTATTAACAATGAAAAAGGGTAAGAAACCCACAATGGTAATAATTGATGGAGTTGATGGATTAGGAAAAACAAGTATAGTACAAAACCTAATCAAGGAATGGGAAAAACAAGGATTAAAAGTAAGATTTAATACCTTTAAAAGAAGAAGAAAAGATAAAGAGGAATTTCATAAACCAAAATTAGAAACAGAATGGAAATTTAGAAAAGAAGTGGTGGAACAAATAAACAGTAGAATGTTAGAGTAT